GTAAGAGTTACAGCTTGTGGCAGCCTAGGAAGTCGTGTTTTCAACAGATAAGGGACCTCTCTAACATTCAAGAGCTCTCCTGTTTCTATATCCTTCCTATTTTCTGCCTCACCCCGAGCAGGCTGAGGCACCACCCGCTCTCAGCAGCCAGGGAGGTGCTGTGGGACTGCCCCAGCTCCCCCAGTGAGGCTGTACCTGCTGGAACTGGAGTTCAGAGCCACTGATCCCACTCCAATCCCAGCAGGAAGCACTAAATCAGCACAGCCACCAAGGCAGCAGGGCCCTGCACCTCAGTGCCTGTGAGGGACATGCCCAGAACAGCTCATAAACTGCTTAACTAATTGCTCCTATCCAATTAGCTGAGACACACACACAATCTCTCACTCCAATTCTCTGTCACGTATTTTCCCTCTGTAGGAACACTCCACAATCGCTGCCTTTAGGAATTTGGATCCACTAAGAAGCAGAGAGCAAGAATCCCACCAAAACAGCATTAGGCACCACAGTCCTCTAATTCCTGACTTGTACAATCAACAGAGGATGCAACTGCTTCCAACTAATGCTGTTACAGCAGAGATTTAGTGGTTTAGGCTGCATTAAACTCACTGTCAGCACAATACATGGAAGAATTTTGCTGTTTGTCATATTTAGAGCAAAGTACTGAATTTATATATTTTGTTCTATGATTCCTTGGCTGTCCTGTTTTATTCTCTGGCACAGCTGTGATTCCAAGAGCCATCCAAGCACCACCACAGCAGAACAGCACAGCTGCCATTCAGGTTTGCCCCATCAATGAACAATAGATACAAACCCCCTTTTCCTGGTGTTAAAAAAGCAGTTCTGTCCTGGTATCAAGTGCACAGCCTGAGCTGGCAGTTTTCTCTGCATTGTCTTACAAAAGTATTTCGATTCAGAAGAGTATTTATTAATGCCTTAGCTCAGTACAGCAGTGGGCCTGGTCCAAGCTCAGTATTTCAGGGTAGTGCAGTTAAATTAAGTGGCAATCACAGTTCATCACCTGCCAATTAGCCTGGTTCCTTCCCACTCATCAAGAACGTGTCACCTTAGGAAAGCTCCACTGACCCACCACAGTAAGCACTGTTTTATTTTCACCCTCAAACACACACAGAGGCACATTTCAGGAATCCCTGGAGCCTGGATAGGAGCAACCAGATTTGCAATCATCCCACACACTGAACTCTGATCTCCCACTACATACACAGTGGATTGTTTCCTCATAGCCACTTTGGGGGAAGGAAAAAAAACAAACCAGCAGCAGCTATATAAAGTTTTCTACCATGAGTGCTGATAGCACAGCAATCGGGCTCCTCCCTGAAAATTCCCAAGGGAAGTTCTGCCCAGCCTGTTGTTGCTGCTCCTTGGTGGCAGGGCAGGGGTGCACAGCAGACACCACACAGATAACAGCAGCTGCACACCTGGGGCTGCTGAGATTGCAGAGCTCGTGACTCTGCCAAACAAACCTTGCAACATTTTTTGGTTTTACACTCCTCAGAAAGCTCCCTCCTCCCAAACAAGTTAACTACTTGTCCAAAGTCCACCTTTAGCTCCAGTTTGGGGTACAAAGCACTGTGCTCCCAAGAGATGAGGCGTTCAGGAGCAAGGTTTCTGCAGCTTTCACCTTTTCATTCCCAAAGCACACAGCCAAGCTGCCAACAGCAACAGCTAATGGACTGCCTTGAAGCTGAACACCAGCACAAGCTTTGCACTTGATCATTTTTAACCTCCAGTAATGAATCTGTGCAGGACCAGGATCACACTGTGTTTATTGATTGATTTCAATAAAAGCCTGCAAGAACTTTCTCATTCAAATCCATCACCTGCTTTTTATGGCTGAGGCTCCAGCTGGGTACCTCCTCTTCCATTAAGAATCACTACAAACTTGCAGGTGTTGCACAACACCTGTACAACAAGTTTCCTAGACAATGTGGGTCAGGTACAGTTCAAGAAATTGTATTATTGAGTCCATGAGGAGCCTGGATAGCAAAAATATTGCAGTATCAGTGTTTCTGCTCCCAAAATTACATCAGGAACTTCAGCAGAAAAGCAACTCCTAGAATCCAAATTCCTGAATTTTTCTTTTCCAATGAAATGAAAGGAGGAAGTTCAAAGGCAAGGACCACGTGCACCCAGGCTCAGAGGGGTGCACACCCATCTGAGAAAGGATCAGCTCCAGTGTGCAGCTGCAAAAGATACTGGTTCAGCCAGTGCTCCACACTGAATAGGTACAGGCAGAGAAAAATGCAAATCCAACCCCAAATAAACAGATGAATCAGTCTGGAGGCACAGCAGTCCTGTTCCACCGTAGTGCTGGCCTGAAAGCTCCCAGCACTTGTGGCGTGAAGCAGATGAGTTTCATTATGTAACAGTACTCATGTCATTAGAGACCTGGCAGTGGGTCACATGCAAGGTTTGGGGCTTAAATAATGCACAAAGGTGCACTGCCACAATGCCTGATTGAGAGCTGGGCTGCCCAGAGGGATGGGCTTCACCTGAGTGCACAGAACCTCCTCAGCACCTGGGGCTGGGCTTGGCCAGCGCCAGGACAAGGCAATGCCTGGGAGGTGAAGCTCTGGGCAATTCCTGAGATTCTCCTGTCAGTGCTGCTCACTACAGGGACACCCAAACTAGGAATTCTGGCCTGCTTTTGAACTGATATTGGGGTAAAACCGTTCAGTGCTCAGCTACACACCTGAGCAAGCACCAAGTCAGCGTTTATTTAGACACTATGAACAGCTGCAGCCTTCAACTAAGTATTCTGCAGTGGTTCTTTCAACGAGGTGCCTAGAAAGGAATTACTTTCCATTCGAGTTAGGAAAAAAAGGCCCTGTAAATCATGCAAATCCATCACCGTGTTTGCCCAGCACAGCCCCAGTTAGCTGAACACAAACCAAACACAGACACTGGCACCACAGGCCACCAGAAGACCTTGACCAGGGGTGCCAATGTAGCTTTTATTAGACAAATTCCCCTCAAAAAAAAACCCCTCCTCCCTCAGCAGTGGAACCGAGCTCAGTAACACCGCGGCTCGCAGCCCTTCGCCCTCCAGACCTGTCAGATGGGAAGTGCCCATTGCACAACTGGATCCAGACCCCTCCCAGTGCTGCAGCTTCACCCACGGGCAGGGAGCACTCGCTGCTGCTCCGGGAGGGAGCCCCGCACTCCCGCACCGCAGCCCGGCACCTCCAGGAAGTCACCTCAGAGAAATTCAACGCCATCACTCGGAAATAAACTATTAACGTGTGGGTCTGGTGCAACGAGAGCCAGAGGTGGGCTCGGGGAGAGGCCAGCGGACAGCGGAGCTGGCACCTGGGCACCTGCACTGCCACAGCTGCACTGCAGGCAGCCGCAGCAGCTCCCACATTTCGCTGCAATACGCGATTTTCCCTCCACAGAATGACATTCCAAGCGGGAACACCGGCAGATCGCTTTAGCCTGTCCTTAGAACTACAGAGGCTTTAACACCATTCAAATAAATAACACTAAGCGGCACACGGACGCAGCCCGGCCACCTGCCCGCCTCACCCCCCCCCCGTGCCGTGCCGGGCCGGGATTTCCCCCTGGCGCCGCTCCGGCAAGCGCAGCGGAGCCACCCGCGCCCGGCCCGCACCGCCCGGCCCGCCCGGGCACCGCGCCAGCCTCGCCCACCCCGCCGGGGCACGGTCCGCGGGCACCGGCAAGGGCGGGATGCCCGGCCCGGCCCCTCCCGGGAGTGCCCTTCGGGCAGCGCTCCCCGAGCCGGACACCGGCAGGGCGAGCAGCCCGCCGAGCGCGCCCGGCCGCCCTCACGGAGGCACCGCGGGCAGGCCCGGCGCGGCTCCCCCGGCACCGTCTCCGGGTGGCTCCCCCGGCGGAGCGAGGCAGCGGCCCGCCCGCCCCCGCGCCCACCTGGAGGTGCTCCTGGAAGCGGATGGGCAGGATCTGGGCCATGGCGGCGGCGGGGCGCTCCGGGCCGGGCCGGGCCGGGCTCAGCGGTGCGGGCGGAGCGGGGCCGCGATGGCGGAGCGGGGCCGTGCGGAAGCTGCCCCCGCCGGCGGAAGGATACCGCCGCGGAAGGATACCCGCACCTGCCGCCGGCCGGCCGGCCGCGCGGAGGGATCCCGGCGAGCGGCGCCAATGGGAGCGGCGGCTGTGATGCGCCGCCGGAAGGGACTATTTGGGGACGCATCACTCCCTCCCTCCCTTTCCCCGGCCTTTTTTTTTTTTGCCACATCATGCGACCGAGGGGCCGCGGCGTCATTTCCGGCCCGCGCGCGCGCGGGGTCACGTGGGGCGGGGCGGCGCGGCCGGGCAAGGTGACACCGGGGGGACACCGGGGGGGACATCACTGGGACACGGGGAGACACCGCTGGGACACCGGGGGGGACACCGGGGGGAGCCCCTGGACCACCCCCCACCCGCGGGGTGTCCCTGTCACCGGCATGGGAAGGATGTCCCCACCTCGGGGACACTGAGGGGACAGGGATGTGATGGATCCCACCCCCTCCTCCCAGGGTGTCCCCCTGTCATCGGGATGTGATGGAGCCACACCCCCGGAGGTGACACCGAGGGGACAAGGGTGTCCCTGTCACTGGGATCTGATGGATTCCCCATCCCCGGGGTGTCCCTGTTACCATGGATGGATCGTCCGTCCCCTGGTGTCCCTGTCCCCAGCATCTGATGGATTCCTTATCCTTAGAGCATCCCTGTCCCCATGATCTCACGGTGTCCCTGGTGTCCCTGTCCCCAGGATCTGATGGATTCCCCATTCTGGGGTGTCCCTGGCACTGGGATCTGATGGATTCCCCAATCCCAGAGCATCCCTGTCCCCGGGATCTGATAGATTCCCCCACCCCTGGGGTGTCCCCAGTGGCTCTCCCATCCCCTGGTGTCCCTGTCCCCACGATCTCATGGATTCCTCTGCCCCTGTCCCCTCTGTCCCTCACCCCCCAGGGCTGCTCTCCCACACTCTTCCCATGCCCCTGTTAATGAGTCCAGCACAGTAACGAAGCTCCACACTTCCCTCTGTGTTTTATTAACTCACACTTGACCTCCAGCACGTAAAACAGGTAAAAACTTAACTTTTTCCTGGGATCAGCACCCAGAGTTGTGTGTGCTGTCACACTTGGCATGGCTGAAATCTTATTTTATTTAACAGCTCACTGTTACTTCCCCCAGATAATTTTTACTTTGTCTTAAATTTCCCATCTCCAAACCTCTGAGAAGCCCTGGAACACAGTGGGGGGAAAAATATCCCTCACTTCTTGCTATGAAAAAAAATGAAAAATAAAAAAAAAAAAGATAAAAAAATCAGCATTAGGATCTGCCAAGTGATTTATAGCCCCAAGGAACAGTGGGCATTCTGTGTACTCATTTCAGGCCCACTGGGTGGTGCAGATGGCATTTGACTCATGAGGGGCTGTGACACTGCAAATATAAATCAAATTAAACAGCAAAACTCAGAGCAGAGGATGAGTCAAGCCCAAGTGCTGCAGCTCCAAAGCAGAGCCTGAAAGAACAAAACCCCTTCCCATCAATCACAGCATGAGAAACAATTACCAGACCCAGCACTTTCTTTATGAGCAATAATATTGTAATATTCCAAAAAAAATTCCTATGGTTTTGGAGGCTCTGGGATGCTGGGCAGTGCTGGAATGCTGGAGGTGAGGCAGAGGTGGAATGGTGAATGTTTCATTCAGGCTACAGTAATAAAACACAATCCAGCACTTGAACCAGTGCCCAGGGTGGCACAGAGCACACAGCTGAGGCAGGAAAAATCCCAGCAAGTTCTTCCAATTCTTTGGAAATTCTTACACAAACTGCTCACTCGAGCCCTGGAGCGTTTCAGGATTATTATGGTGATAAAACAGGATTTCTTTATTGAGAAGGAAACAAACTTCATGATGACAAAGCACCACAGCTCCTTGCTCTTTCAGATGCTCAAGGAAAAACGTTCTTAATTCCCTGTGTGCACCTGGTACAGCACAGCAAGGAATGCAGGTGGGAAATGGCCCTTTGGATTTAATCCTGCAATTGTCCCTTTGGATCTAATCCTGCAATTGCCCCTTTGGATCTAATCCTGCAATTTCCCCTTTGGATCTAATCCTGCAATTGCCCCTTTGGATCTAATCCTGCAATTGCCCCTTTGGATCTAATCCTGCTGCTCCCACCACTGCAAGAGCCCTTCCTGAACGTTTTCCTGAGCAGGAATTCTGTGTGACCACCATCAGACAGAATAAAATGGGTAAAAAATTACAGTTCCACTCCTTACAAAAATAAACCCCAACCGACCTTGAAGAAAAATTTCATTTATAACAGCACTGAGAGCTCTTTAAGTCAAACAGATGCCAGAGAATTGGCACCACACTTGATATCAGGGCTTCAGCCACAGCTGAGGCCATGAAATTGTTGCCACTGACCTGCAGCAACGCAAAGCTTGGGAAGTTTTCCCTGCTGGATGCAGCACAGGGAACTGTGTTTGTCCTCTTTGGCACAAGTTTCCCTGCACTCCTGTCAGTCCTTGGGCATTTTGCAAAGAGCCCAGAGCTGCAGAAGCTCCTCCTCAAGCAGAGTTAGCCCAGAGTTACCCCATTTCCTTCTCGGGGCCGCTCAGAGCCTGAGCTCTTTGCTGCTTCCTCTGCAGGTAGCGAGCTCGGGCGTCCTGGATGGATTGTTCATCATTCCTCCTCTCCATCTTCCCTGCAGAGCTCTCTGGGACTCCTTCTGGGGAGAGAGGAGAGGAAGAAAGAAAAATCAACTCTCTGTGTCAAACCCAGCTCCCCTGTTGTATTTGTGATCCCCCAGGTGAAGGGAGGAATGATGAATCTGGCTCCGTGTTATCAGAAGGCTGATTTGTTGTTTTATGATGCTATTTTATATTAAAGAATGCTAAAATAAACTGTACTAAAGAATACAGAAAGGATGCTTACAGAAAGCTAAAAAGATAAGAATGAAAACTCTTTCCAGAGTCCCAACACAGCTTGGCCCTGATTGGCCAATGAGTGAAAACAACTCACAGCAGAAACAAATGAAACAATCTCCAAACACATTCCAAAGGAGCAAAACACAGGAGAAGCAAATCAGATAATTATTGTTTTCTTTTTTTCTCAGGTTCCCAGGAGAAAAATCCTGGGTGAAGGGATTTTTCAGAAAATACAAATGCTTTTCAAAGCATTGCAAGTCCTCCTATTTGTTAAATACCAAAAAAAACCCCCAACAAAATCTCTTTTTTTTTTTCCTCCCATGCAGCCATTTGAATGACTTCCAGAGAGGACAGACTGCACCACAGCAGGGAGGGAAAAAAATTCAAAATAAAATCACACCCTTAGCTCCCATGTCAGTGTTTGCAGCTGGGCTCATCTCACCCCCAAATCTTGCTTTTTATTGTAGCAGAGAATATGCAGCCTGTGTTCTGCACACCCAATTCTCCTCTAAACTGCACATCCCAAACTCAGGTTTGGGCAGGACAGGACAGGAAAAAACATTGGGATAAACTATCTTTAAAAAATTTCCGGAGGCAGGAGGGAGGGAGAGGAAAACATGCAGATAAGGGAGTGAAAAAAGTAAATACTGCAGCTCAGCCACCATCAGAAATGCACATTCCCCCACAGCACTGAGACCTTGGGACTGCTTCTCACTGAAGGCAAGAGAAGCAGAAAATATTTTCAGTCTAAAAAAAAACAATAAAAAAGAAAATCAAAGGCTCTGAGAGCCTAAAATGTGTGTGAGTGAAGCAGCTACTGCAGCCTGGTCCTGGGGGCTGGCAGGAGAAGAAGAAGGAGCTTTAATCAGCACCCCTTGTTCAAATATTTCTAATTATTATGTCTTGTCAGCTATTTTCATGAAGGTGCCAGAAATACCACATCTGTAAGGTCAAAATTAAACTCCAGTTAATTGGGAATTGCCTGATGAAGTCATAATGTGAAGGGGGACACAGAGAACGTTTCCTTCAGATAAACTGATGAGGCTCTTCTGCATTATTTATAACCAAATGGAATTGATGTTTAGAATGGTGAATTTATACAATAATGCAGGGCAGCAAGAGATGCTGGCCTGAGCACAAGTCTGCATTTTTGCCTTTGTTAAGGAAATGGAAGAGAATCTGTATTTAGTGTACAATAAATGGATGTTTTGGAAGGGTCAGCTCAGGAGTAAAGAGGCCCTTTGAATACTTGGCTGCTTTAGGAACCTGCTGACAGGAGAATCCCAGGAATGCCAAGCAGCCAGATCAGTTAGCAGGCACCAGTTCTAATTAGCACTGACTATTTACACACTGCCATTAAATTCATTGAGACACTCACCAAAATGTGAGGCTTTTTCTTCTGTCTATTGCTGGGTGAGGTTTTTGATTTTTTTTTTTTCCTTCCCTCTGCACCACAGCTCTCAGGACTTCTCCCAGGGCATCATTATTTGGGCACCAATGGCTAAATACCCTTCACAAACTTAAACAACCAACCTCAAAATGCTTTTATTCAACTCTGCTCAAGCTCTGCTCTAAGAAACCAAAAGGGGGGAGCGTGGCAAGAAGCACCACAAGCAAACACCACAACTCAACTGCTGGGACAGAAAATAAGGATTGCAGAGCTGTGAGGAGAATAAAATAACCACAACTACACCAAACAAATTAACACTTTCTAGCCCAGAACATGCCATAATAACCACACAGGGCTCCAAAACAACAATGAAAACTTTAGTGATATTTTTGCCTGATGTCCGGGAGAAATGATGAGGAGGATCCATCTTATCAGAAGGCTAATTATGATTATAGTATATTATTCTATACTGTATTACATTACATCCTAAGTGAATCTGCCACTCCACTGTACAGAATCTTGTGACTGTCCCAACACACACACCTGGATTCAACAGTCAGTGAATCAAAACACTCCCACCAAAATCCAATCACCAATTCCACTCATGAACAACACAGGGGCAGTAAATAAAATAAGAATTGTTTCTTCTTTCTCTGATATTCAGACAACATGAAACCCAGGATATTCTTGGGAAGAACTGTGCCTTGCTTTTCTCTGCGAAGAGAAACGCGGCGACAGAAAAAACCACACACCCACAGAGAGGGATGAGCCCCGTGCTTACCAAACTGCCTTTTGAGCTCCTCCCTCTGCTTCCACCTGGCCATTTCCTCCTCAGTCACCTCTTCCCTGGCCACGCTGCTGAGCTCATAGGCATCCACCTGGTGCAGCCTGGGCAGCAGCTCCCTGAGCCACTCGTAGCGCACGGGGCACACGGTGCGCACGTAGATCTTGGAGGTGACGGCCACGTCGTGGAAGATGATCCACTCCAGCAGGGTCTCCTGGTTGTAGAGCTGAAAAATTCAAAAGTTGGCTCGCAGCCGGTTTGGTTTTCACAGCCCCACCTGCAGCAGAATGGAGGTGGTTGGGATGTGAGGGGGGGTTAGCAGGTTTTAGGTGTTCGGGTTCTAGAATTGATCAAAGAGCCAGAGGGGAAGCCCAGCCTGTGTCACTCCCACCTCATAACCCAAAACTTGACCAAGCCTGAGGGATGAACACTGCAGCAGAGCCCAAAGCAAGCACCAGGGAGAGTTTAAGGATCTGCCCCTCATTCCTTTTGGAGGTGCTTTTCTGTTTTATCAGCAGGCTTTGGGAACTCACTGCGGATGAAGGGTGGATGTAGACTATGCTGCCATGCCCATCCATGGTGCAGAATGTCCTGGCTGCAGATCTGAAAAAAAGAAATTAAAAAAAAAATAACAACAACAAAACAAAACACACATGGCTGTGATTATACAGCAACACTGAACTAAACAAATCAGTAGCACACAGAAAAAAGTTCTCAAATATCTACCTAGAGGAAGGTGCTTCCAGAGCTAAACTGTAAAAAACCATTTAAAAAGTGAAATACAATCATCTATCTCATTTACCACAGCAGCACTGCAGGTGTAACACCACAATAACAACAGGGTTTGGCAGTGAAGCCTTTGAAAGCTGTGATAGCTGGAGATTTCCAAGCCCTTCAGGTGAGTATCTGGAACCACTCTCAGCTGGTGAGTTCATTTCACAGACAGAAAAATGACATTCCTGGGAAGCTCTCCTTGGAATGGTGAAGACAGCCAAAAGCAGAAGTTCCAGCCCCTCCTTCACCTGCAGTTACTACTCTGCTGCTTTTACCAACATAAAACCACATTTTAAAGTAATTTGCATAATTTCTTTTCCATTCAGGTCTCCAAACTTCATTCCTTACCTCCTAGCAACATTAACGAAATATCCTGCACACAGGCATCTTCTCAGTATTTCAGTTCTGGAGCCTTCAAATGTCTCTGTAGGGAAGTCTGGCAGCTGGGAGAAGAAAAAGCAACATGAATCAGGATGGTTCTTCAAGAAAAAGCAGTTAAACCTCTTCCATCCCATGGATTTTAAACTCTGGACATAAACCATGGGGAAAGGAGAAAAACTCTCCTTCTTGCCCATTACCACCACTGTACCTCAGTCACACAAGCAAGATAAAAAATATTTAAGTGGTTTATTTTCTACTGGAGGAAGGCAGCAGCCACCTGGCAAAGGCTCAGCACCCACTACATCTCTTAAATATAAGTTTATACAGCTCAAACATGCCCAGAAATGTTCTGGGGTTTTTTTACCTGTTTCAGTTTCGTGGTTATTTCCCGCAGCTGCCTTTCCACACTAAAAGCAGATTTCACAGCTCTCCAATGGATCCAGTATTTCTGGCACCAGGCTGAAGGAGACTTGCTGAGAACAGGAATATTTGAATTATAAAGAAGCCCTTTGTCAGCTGCTTGCAAAGAAATTTGCCTCTATTTTATTGTTATGGTCACACAAAGGCGAAAACCTACACAGGCAGATACTTTGTTGAGTTAAATAAAAAGTGTCTGGATGGAAATTACAGATCAGAACAAGGAATAAATCTGAAATGAGGAATGAGCACACAGATGTGTAACTGCAGCACACCTGGAAACTGGGAGTTATGAGCAATGCCAAAGCACTTAGTGTAAGGGAGAATTTCATACCTTGCTTTGCACTGCTCAAAAATATTTAAGAGGGTTGCAAAGTCATTGCATCCTCCCACTTGAGAGGCAAGTTCCTGGTGTTGAAGCTCAGCCTCCTTTTGCTTCTGAGGATCACCTGAGGAATAAGTTATATCTCACTTAAAGTCCTTTTTGTTCATCACTACCTAATTTTCTGTTTGGTTTTGGCAGCTTTGGCTCCCTACTCCTGTTATTTTTAGATTTGTCTCTCCTTCTACAGCTGCATTTACAGTTGTTCCTCCTGCCTATTGCTGAACAAGAGCACATGGATGCTATTAAATCTATGATTAATCTCATCAGTCAGCACCAGGCATGAAGAATTCCAGTCTCTAAGCAAGTGTTTCTCACTCACAACCCATCCAGAGGCTGACAGGGAAAGACAAAGGAATAAACAAACAGCTCCCAGGGATCAAGAGAGGAAAAACAAGACTGTTGAAGCCACGCCACCACAGCACCCTCTAATCTACTGAACTCAGCTTTTTCCTGCTGCCACAGTGGTGAGATCTTAAAATAAAGATAAAACCAGTGGATCTGTGAGTTTAGTGGGAAATCAAATCCATCAAATGCAACACTTCCAGAGTGTTCTCTCAGGTTTTAAACCCTCAGAGTCTGATCTCTCCCCCAGCACAACCCATTCCCCTCGGGAGAGGGAGGCAGCAGCAAAGGAGGAGGAGCTCACACCTGGTCGGATGAAGACGTTTTCCACAGACAGCATGGCTGCAATGGGAAGCAGGAGATCCTCACAGCCCAGGGAAGCAGCCTTGATCACAGCACAGGACAGGCTGGGAGGGAGGGGAAACTGCACCAGGAACTCTCCCAGTCTGGTCACATGGCCTCTCCTGAGAGGAGAGAAAAAATTTAAAAAAAATTTTAAAAAATTAAAAAAAAATTAAATAAAAAAAATTAAAAATAATAATTAAAAAATGTATATATATTTATATATTTACATATATTCACAGGAAATATATATTTATATTATATAATTTTATATATTCACATATTATATATATTTAAATATATTTTCTATATCTTATTCTACATTTTATTCTATATCTTATTCTATATCTTATTCTATTTACAGGAAATATATATTTATATTATGTATATATTTATATATTTACAGGGAAAAATTATATATATTTCTATATATTTCTATATATAATATAAAAAGATATGTTTTATATTGAATTAATATATTATATTTAATTATATATTTCTATATATAAAAATATATGTTTTATATTGAATTAATATATTATATTTAATTATATATTTCTATATGTAAAAATATATGTTTTATATTGAATTAATATATTATATTTAATTATATATTTCTATATATAATATAGAAATAGATCTTTTATATAAAATTAATATATTATATTTAATTATATATTTATATATATTATATATTTTAATATATTTTCTATACTTTTAATATATTTTATTATACATTCTGTTATATCTTATTATATATCTTATTACACATCTTATTATATATCTTATACGTTTCTCTGATATCTATTTTTATATATACAGCTTCAATGCAATGATGTTTACATGTGAACTGGGTAAGAAGCACTTCCCTCTGGACTGTGAGTGCCCACACAGGTGCTGGGGACATGGACAAGTGTCACCAGCAATAAAATCATCCACATTTCTCCAGCTGGCTCGTGTCTGCTCTATGGCAGGCACAGCCAGCTTTGGGTTTTGTTTTTTTTCATTATTTCCAAGAAGAATTCCTGGAAGTTCAGGATAAGATCTCAGTTCCTGCCTTTGGCTCTTGGATGGCCCTCCCAGGCAGAGCCTGAGCTCCTGAGCCACATCAGTGAGGGATGCAGAGCTGAGCTCATTTAGGAGCTCCAGGACAACTGGAACCTGATTTTCATCTCCCCAACCCCAAACCCTGCTCCATGCCTGCTTTTGCAGTCAGTACATTAAACCCCAGGAAACCTCCTGGAGGTTAAATAAGGAAACATTCTGCTGCTGAGGGGTATCCTTCAGTCCACACAAAACACCAATTTAAGCCTTAGATTTGAAATTCTTGTAGTGAAACCTTTTGGTTTTTACCTGTCAATAGCATTGCACTGGTAAAGTTCCTTCAGAGCTTCCAGAATGTGCCTTTCCTCAGGGGGGTCCAAATAGGGAAACCTAGGGTTAAAAATGAAGTAAGATTTGTTACTTTCATATTTATAAAAATAAATTTTAAATATTTAAAAGATGGTTTAAAATTTATTTTAATAAATTTTATTTATTCTTTTTCAAAATTTTAAATTTATTTTCTTTATATTAAATTTTTTAATATTTATAAAAATCATTTTTGAACCTCCCCAATGCATGTCTTCCAACCAAACTTAGATAATAATAATAATAATCATCATCATCATCATCATCTTGTGTGTGTTCCTGTACAACCTCCAGCTGAGGAGTTTCTGATGACAAATCCCAGCAAGGCACACACTAAACTGCATTTTCTCCTCTTGTATGGTCTTAGAACTATAAAATTCCAGAGAGATGAACCTTTTTGAGTAAAAAATGCAGTATTTTAAGCATTTAAAGATATAAAAACCAGTATTTTAAGGATGTCAAGCATTTAAAGATATAAAAACCAGTATTTTAAGGACTGTAAGTATTTAAAGGTGCAAAAACCAGTATCTTAAGGATGTTAAGTATTTAAAGGTATAAACCCCAATATTTTAAGAATTTGAAGAATTTAAAGGCATAAACCCCAATATTTTAAACATTTTAAGCATTTAAAGGTATAAACCCCAATATTTTAAGAATTTAAAGGTATAAACCCCAATATTTTAAACATTTGAAGAATTTAAAGGCATAAACCCCAATATTTTAAGAACTTCAAGGTACAAACCCCAATATTTGAAGCATGTGAAGAATTTAAAGGCATAAACCCCAATATTTTAAGAATTTGAAGAATTTAAAGGTATAAACCCCAATATTTTAAACATTTCAAGGTATAAACCCCAATATTTTAAGAATTTAAAGGTATAAACCCCAACATTTTAAGCATTTGAAGAATTTAAAGGCATAAACCCCAATATTTTAAGCATTTCAAGTTATAAACCCCAATATTTGAAGCATGTGAAGAATTTCAAGATATAAACCCCAATATTTTAAGAATTTCAAGGTGTAAACCCCAATATTTTAAGAATTTGAAGAATTTCAAGGTATAAACCCCAATATTTTAAGCATTTTAAGAATTTAAAGGTATAAATCCCAATATTTTAAGAATTTCAAGGTATAAACCCCAATATTTTAAGCATTTTAAGAATTTAATGGTATAAGCCCCAATATTTTAAGCATTTGAAGAATTTCAAGATATAAACTCCAATATTTTAAGAATTTAAAGGTATAAACCCCAATATTTTAAGAATTTCAAGGTATAGACCCCAATATTTGAAGAATTTAAAGGTATAAACCCCAATATTTGAAGAATTTAAAGGCATAAACCCCAATATTTCAAGAATTTCAAGGTACAAACCCCAATATTTGAAGCATGTGAAGAATTTCAAGGTATAAACCCCAATATTTGAAGCATGTGAAGAATTTCAAGGTACAAACCCCAACATTTCAAGAATTTCAAGGTACAAACCCCAATATTTGAAGCATGTGAAGAATTTCAAGGTACAAACCCCAATATCTGAAGCACGTGAAGAATTTCAAGATGGACACTTTTACGGGTTTTACGCATTTAAAGGAACGCTACGAACGGACTCGTTGAGTCTGGGAGAGCTGGGAGTTTTGGCAGAGGCTGCTCTGGAGCTGGGGCTGCAGGCTGGAATGCAGAGCAGAGCAGCAGCAGAGCTGATTGAAGTGGAGCTCACCTGATGACATCGTGCACCGAGAGGCATTTCAGGGTGAGGATCACAGATGTCAGGCTGCTCCTCCTGATCTCTGGCACGGTGTGCTGGGGCATGCACTGCTCCCAGAACTCCCTGCTGTACACCCCAAAACTCTTCCCCGCCGACGTCCGCCCGGCGCGCCCCGCTCGCTGCTTGGCTTCGCTCCTGGCCCCCCAAAATAAACCAGCATTGAAACATCTCATCCCTTCTGGTGCAGCCAAAGAAACAAAAAGTGTCTCACTTTACAGATGGAACAGGTGTTCCTGAAAAATCCAGCTGGGCAAGAAATAAAGGAGAATTTCTCTGTGGTTTTTGGTGATATTCAACCAGCACTGCTCAGACCTCAGACAATGCTGATCCTTCCTTAATATCTGTGACTTTTAGGAAGTTGTGTATCCTGAACCACTTTTTACTTGGTCCTAAATTGGTTAATTAAAACCAATTAGAGTGGTTTCAAACCTTAAAATGGTTTTTAACCATTAAGTGTTTTTGAACCTTACAATGGTTTTCAAACCTTAAAGTGGTTTCAAACCTTAAGATGGTTTTTAAACCTTAAAGTGTTTTTAAACCTTAAAATGGTTTTTAAACCTTAAAGTGTTTTTAAACCTTACAATGGTTTTCAAACCTTAAAATGGTTTTTAAACCTTAAAGTGTTTTTGAACCTTACAATGGTTTTTAAACCTTAAAGTGATTTTAAACCTTACAATGGTTTTCAAACCTTACAATGGTTTTTAAACCTTACAATGGTTTTTAAACCTTAAAGCGGTTTCAAACCTTAAAGCGGTTTTTAAACCTTAAAATGGATTTTAAATCTTAAATTGTTTGCAAACTTTAAAGTGGTTTTTAAGGTTAAAGTGGTTTCAAACCTTAAAGTGGTTTTTAAACCTTAAAATGGATTTTACATCTTAAATTGTTTTCAAACCTTAAAGTGGTTTTTAAACCTTAAAATGGATTTTACATCTTAAATTGTTTTCAAATTTTAAAGTGGTTTTTAACCTTAAACTGGTTTCAAACCTTAAAGTGGTTTTTAAACCTTAAAATGGATTTTACATCTTAAATTGTTTTCAAACTTTAAAGTGGTTTTTAACCTTAAAGTGGTTTTAAACCATGGGGTTTCGAGGTTGCTGCCTATCTTTTGATTGATTTTTTGAACACAGAGCATTATTGCCAGAGCAGCTCCCAGGAACAGCGAGTGAGGGACATTTCTCACTTACTTTGAGATGGGAACCACCTCCAGGATGTCCAAACCCACTCGGGGATTATGGTTCAACTGCTTCACAAAGCCACTGTCCACCACATATCTGGAAAAAAACAATCCAGAGAGGTAAAAAACAGGGCTCAGCAGGGAACTGACAGGTGGATTTAATTTAAAAAACCACATTTATTCTACCTAGACCCTGGTTATTGAGTAGATTTTATTTCAAAATAGGTTCAAAATCATTGGTCACCTCTAAGACTATAATAATATCAATGGTTTTCTTACTACACACCCCAAAAAAGGCAATAGTAGCAGAATAAATGTGTTTTTTCAAACCCAGACCTTTCTGAATTATTCCCTCTGTTATGAGAGACAGAAATCAATACCTGACTCCTTCAATGGTCAGAGATGTTGCAGCAATGTTTGTGGAGACCACACATTTTCTGATGCCTCTGGGGGCTGGCAAAAATATCCTTTTCTGTTGATCTAAAATGACAGAAAATGATGACGTAAAATAACATGACAAAGTAAAATAAAGCAATGTAAAAATAAAGTAATGCATACTAAAGCAAAATAAAGCAAAATAAAATGTAAAATAAAGCAAAATAAAATATAAAACAAAGTGAAATAAAGTAAATTAAAAACAAGTAAAGTAAAATAAAGTAAAATAAAATGTAAAATAAAGCAAAATAAAGCAAAATAAAATATAAAACAAAGTGAAATAAAGTAAATTAAAATCAAGTAAAGTAAAGTAAAATAAAGTAAAGTAAAATAAAGTAAAATAAAATGTAAAATAAAGCAAAATAAAGCAAAATAAAGCAAAATAAAGCAAAATAAAATGTAAAATAAAGTAAAATAAAGTAAATTAAAATCAAGTAAAATAAAGTAAAGTAAAATAAAGTAAAGTAAAGTAAAATAAATAAAATAAAGTAAAATAAATAAAATCAAGTAAAATAAATAAAATCAAGTAAAATAAATAAAATAAATAAAGTAAAATAAAGTAAAATAAATTTTAAAAATAAAATAAAATAAATAAATAAAATAAAATAAAATGTGACTTCATCTGGACTCTCAGTTACTCAATACCCCCTTCCTAACTGAGGATCTTGAAGCCATATCCAGTGGATCTGGATTTTGACTGGAGGCTCAAGCAGAGCAGGCCGAAGTTTGATTCAGTTTATGATGACCACAGTGAAACCCCACCCCAAAGGGCTTCATTACCACCCTTTTCCCAACCCAAGCAGACAATCTGATGAGGATGAAGCCCATCAGAAGCCCTGCAGCTCAGATTGCTGTGCTGAGGTGAGATTTTGGCTCTGACCTGTGGACATGGAGCCATAGAGGGGCAGGATGAGGAGCCCCTCCACAGCCCGGTCGTGCACCTCGTACCGGTAATCGATGGACTCTGCTCTCTTGAAAAGCAAATCACAAGCTCTTTCTATCTCATTCTGCCCTGAAAGACACACAAGAGTCACCTAATTAGCTACAACTCTGCATTCCTGGTTTGCAACACTGTTAAAAAAAATTGTTTTGTCCATATGCAGCACTGGCAGCATCATTAAAGTAAGGAATTAATGAGAGGGGGTTTGGGAGGTGGCATCCGGCCTTTCCACAGGGCCTCCCACCAAGGACGTGCCTTAAAATATTATATATATTACATATCATTTTATTAGATATTAGATATTAGATATGGGCCTGGCCCATGCACTGATGTAGGATTTTACAGCTAAAAGAATTCATCATTAAAATAAGGAATTAATGAGAGGGGGTTTGGGAGGTGGCATCCAGCCTTTCCACAGGCCTCCCACCAAGGATTTGCCTTAAAATATTATATATCTTTTTATTAGATATTAGATATTAGTATTAGATATGGGCCTGGCCCGTGCACTGATGTAGGATTTTACAGCTAAAATAATTCATCATTAAAATAAGGAATTAATGAGAGGGGGTTTGGGAGGTGGCATCCAGCCTTTCCACAGGGCCTCCCACCAAGGATATGCCTTTAAAATGAGATATATTTTTATTAGATATTATATACAAGATGTAATATTAATATTAGATATGGGCCTGGCCTATGCATTGATGTAGGATTTTACAGCTAAAATCATTCTTCCTCCCTGAATTAACCACAAACTAAACCATGCAGACAACACAGAGTCAATCTGGTTATTCCCAAAAGGCTCTGAAAAGTACCACTGCACAGGACTTTGTGCATCAACCTGCACCTTTCCCTTCTCACTGCTCTGGGAGACACCTGGCAGGCTCTGGAAGCTTTTCTGCTTTGCTGGCAGTGCCGTGATTCACCCAGGAAAACTCTCACCTGTGAGGAAAACCAGGATGTCACCTTCTGGTTCATTTAAGTGAACATCCAGGGCGACCTTCACAGCCTGGAACAAACAACAAACAAGCCAAAATCAGTTGAAATCCCATTTAATTCTTGCTGGGACTCACCATCCCAACTGATCCTCCCCTATTTCCTGCAGAGATGCTGAGAACACAACACAGCAGCTGATTCCCGTGGCCTCCCCCAGGTGAAAACCACCCCAGAGCAGAGAGAAAACAAACCTCTGTGACATAGGCAGAGCTGCCCACATCCCTGGGGCTCAGCAGGTTGCAGAATATCTCCTTGACAGGGTAACTTCTGCCCGGAATGTGCAGCACTGGGCAGTGCCCAAAGAACTCTGAGAGCTTCTCCACCTGCAGGGTGGCTGACATCACCACCACCTTCATGTCTGTCCTCCTGCCCGCTGGCTTCTCCTGCAGGAACAGCTTCTTCAGCAACCCAAATAAAATATCCTGGCAGGAGAACGGGAACAGCTGATGTTAACAGCCTGGTTTTCTTAGAAGAGCCTGACAAACTTGGAAGTTGGATGATTTTACCCCGTGGATAGGGTGAAAATCACACATTACAGGTCTGAGCACTCTGAGGAAAACACACCTTTGCCCTGGGCATTTTGGTTTCTAGAGTTTAATGGTTTTTTTTTACCAGCTCTCCTCACAGCACCAGTGTAACTCAAACCCCTTTGGTTTTCATTTTTACACTCTCTTGGTCAAGTCATTTGTGAGAAGTTACCTCAGATCCATTTTTCATCCCATTTTCCAGCACTGTGTGTGCACCTTTCCTTGGTTTTATTTATTGCTACGACCTCAGCAAGTTTATTTCACTCTGTGCTGCTCTGAAATACAAATCTGCTCCTTCCACCACTTCAGCTCAGTTGTTTGCAATTCCCTCAGATGCCTGAGGGCAAACTGGGATTCAGGAGCTCATTTTCCCTTTTTCCAGCTGGACTGGGAGATTGTTTGCTGGAGCAGGAGGTTGTCTGACACACAGCACAATCTCCTGGGGTCTCAGTGACCTCAATGTCCCTTTGCTGGCCACAGAAGGGTCAGGGTGACCCCTGAAAGCTTTTGGGACTCAGGTCTAGATGCTTCCATGGACCATAATCTCTTTGCACAGTCACACACACACCCTAAAAATCATTGGGCCTCAGGGCAGGAGAGGTGTTTTGGCTATTTTTTGGTGTATTTTGTGTTGGTTTATTTTTTAAATTAATATTCTAGAAAGTCTCTTCTGGCCTCAAACTCCTGGAGATTTTAGGAGAGTATTCAACAGCCAGCAAAGTTTTAACTGCATTTAAATGCAACAACTACAAAAACTCCATCACTATTAGAGGCCACATCTTATTTTCAGTTTATGCAGCATGGACTGAACAAAGCAGCACTTCTGTGTTCTTAGCACAGCAAAAGGACAAAGCACATCCAAGGAAAGTCAGTCAAAACCCCTGGGGGTTGTGCTGAAGTGAAGGGAAGGGATAAACAGAGCACAGAGAAGGAGAAACAGTGACCCAAAAAACCAACTCTGAGGTGACACTCACAGTGCTGAGGCTCCTCTCGTGGGCTTCATCCAGAATGATGATGCTGTACTTGCTGAGGAGGGGGTCAGCCAGGATCTGCCTCAGCAGGCAGCCGTCAGTCATGTACCTGATGGCAGTGTCCTGCAAGGTGCAAACAGTCACCTGCCAGCCTGCCTTTCATCTCAAAGCAAACACTCCACACACACCACACATTTGTCCAGCACACCACAAGGATTTCCCTTAAAAGACGTCTAAAGGTCTGGCCCATGCATTGATGTAGGATTTTCCAGCTGAAATAATTCTTACTGTGCTCATGCACAGCAGCACAGGGGGTGCTTGGCAACGTTTCACCTGCAAGGTGCCCAAAAACCTCCCTCAAATGAGCCAGGGGACACAAACAGCCCCTTCCCAAATCTCCCCAGCCCCCTGGGTCACCCTGGCACACCCCCAGGGCACCCCAAGGATGTTCATTAAAATATATTTAAGGGCCTGGCCCATACATTGATATAGGATTTTACAACTAAAATAATTCTCAATTTGCTCATGCTTGGCAACGTTCCACCCGCAAGGTGCCCAAAAACCTCCCTCAAATGAGCCAGGGGACACCAACAGCCCCTTCCCAAAGCTCTGAGACACCTCCCAGCCCCCTGGGTGACCCTGTCCCGCCCCCAGGGCAGCCCCCAGGTCCCCACCTCACAGGTGCAGTCCTCGAATCGGACCTGGTACCCCACGAGGGCCCCCAGAGCACAGCCCATCTCCTCGGCCACCCTCTGTGCCACCGAGACGGTGGCCACGCGCCGGGGCTGGGTCACACCGATGGCTCCGTGCCTGGCCAGCCCTGGGGGGACACACAAGGGCTCGGGTTGGAAGGGTGGAAAACGCCAATCGCTCGGGTTTTAGCGTTTGAAAGGTTTAATAGTAATAGAACAGCCTGTTGCATATTCATACAGCTCACACACGATGCATAAATTCCATTCAAACACAGGATTCTGTCTGGGCAGTGTCAGCTTCTTCCTCTGAATCCTAACAGCGCCTTGGAGGCGGGAAGAAGTTCATTTCTCCTGATAATGGGGCAATAAATTCTTTTTCTCTGAAGGATTCAGGTGTCCTGTGGCTGCTATCTCAGTGCAAGTCCTTTCCTTAAAAAAGCAATTTACCACACTACTTAAGAGAATTAATGCAGCATTACTTTCTAACACAACACATATAATATTCATTTGAATATTTGCGAAAAGCCAATCATAAATTACACATTTTTCACAGAAGGGACATTAAAGATCATCTCATTCCACCCCCTCTTGGGACACCTTCCACAGTCCCAGGTTGCTGCAAATCTTCTCCAGCCTTGGATGCTGCCAGGGATGGGGCAGATTCCCTGGGCAGCCTGTGCCAGGCCCTCCCATCCTCGTAGGGAGAAATTCCTTCCCAATATCCCACCTGACCCTGCTCTCTGGCAATGGGAAGCCATTCCCTGTGTCCTGTCACTCCAGACTCCTTCAGGGGCTGGGAGGGGGCTCTAAGATTACCAGGAAACCTGCGCCAGTCCCTCCCATCCTCACAGGGAACAATTCTTTCCCAATATCCCACCTGACCCTGCTCTCTATCAATTCCCTGTCACCCCAGACTCCTTCAGGCTCTAAGATCACCCCTGGAGCCTTCTCCAGCCTGAACACCCTCAGTGATTGTGGCACACGGGCTTGTGCTGCTCCAGGTCACTTTATAACACGTACATAACGTACACATGGCCACAGTTTGGGTTTTTTTTTATTTAAAAGGTTTAACCGAGCCACCTCCTCTCACCACATCCCAGCCCGAAGCTGCGTCACCCGCGAGGGGACCGGGGCACAATCAGATGAGTTTATCGGTGCTCGTGGCCCACATCCGCATCCCGCGGAGCGGCGGGGGGGGTTCCGTTACCTGCCTCGTAGAGGTACCTGGGCAGCTGCGTGCTTTTACCGCTGCCCGTCTCGCCGGTGACGATGAGGAAGGGCCGCTCCCGCACGGCCTCCACCAACTCTCGGCGGGAGCGGCGGATGGGCAGGGCGGGGCCGTCCATGGCGGCTCCCGGGGCTCACCTGGGGCTCACCTGCCTCACCTGAGGCCCCGCCCACGCGCGCGCCCGGCGGGAACCCCCCGTGCGCGCCCCCCGCGCCCCGCCGGTACCGCACGGCCCGCGCATGCGCGCCACGCCCCCAAGTTCCCCGCCTCCTCGTTAAACCACGCCCCAAGTTCCCCGCCTCCTCGTTAAGTCACGCCCCCAGTTCCTCGCCTCCTCGTTAAGCCACGCCCCCACGCAGCTTCCCGCCTCTTCCTTAGGCCACGCCCCCCCCGCTCTCCCCTCAGGCTCTCGCGGCGCCTCAGAGTCAGGGAATTGCCCAAAAAATGATAAAAATCACCAAATTACAAAATGCGAAGGGTTGGAAGGACCTCGAAATCAATGATCCCGCCAGATCAGGCTGCTCAGATGTATTTCGTGACCAAACTTGAGTCTTGAGTCCACACGTAAATGTCCTGATGGAACGACCCTGATTAGAAAAACACATTCTAAAATCTAAGGGACAAGAAACGATCTCGAATTCTGTTATAAATCAGAGTAATATTCTCTTATCATAGGTCAGCTAAGTGTCATATTGTGTTACATTAGGCTGTTACACAACATTCAACAAAACACAATTGTACACATGTAGAAAATAGTAAAATATTGATAAACAAACCTGCTGCACCAAAACTTCTTCCTTGAGAGAGAAAAAGTTCTTTATGTTGGGTCTTTTTATACTTTCAAGCCTAATCAACAAGAGACGAGATTCAATCTCTGAAACAGAAAGCAGCCAACACATCTAGGAGACGTGTTAGAAAAAACAAATTCCTTGTTAGAATTTTACAAGTTTAGGGCTGGATATGCTCCAATGATTTCAGACTTAGGGGCAGCTTAACAAAGCTGTGGAAAAAAAAAAAGGATACCCTTGGTAGTGGACACAAAGAAAGCAGAATTTAGGGGACATCTGGCAGAACTGCCAGGATTTGTAAGAAACTGATAAACCCAACTCAGCTCCAAGTGGGTAAAAGGTAATTCTGGTCATTCTGTGACCACCCACCCAAGAAACCCACTGACCCCAAAAAGAAAGACTCAGCACGGCACTAATTAGCGTCAGAAGCAAATCATTAACTGGTAGAAGGTAGAATACTAATTAACAAGTGGACTGTGTGACCGATGGCAAATTAACACTAATTACTTTGTGTGCTAAAACGTGAAAACAGTAAAAAGTTTTGATGGTTGGGCTGCCTGCTCTGTGAGGTTCACCCAGGCTAGGCAAGACTGAAATAAATAATCAATGTCCCTCTGGTACGTGCTGGTATCGCCTTGTTGTGCTCCGGGTAACAAATGTGATTTTTAAGGACGTGAATAACCCAAAACTCGCTGGGATGAACAAATGGAGGCGCTGCAGCTCTGTCTGTGAGTGCACAGCAGGCCTGAAGGTGGCAAGCACACAACACTGAACACACACCAGCCACAGTCCAGCTCCCCTGCTTTCCCCAAAATGCGATTTTTTTATGGTGAATTTTGCCCCTGGCTCAGTGCTTTCTCCCCTCACACACTATTTTTCACCCTCCATTGGGCTCTATCAGCGAAAAGAAGCACACAGTAAATTTGGTGTCGCACCAGGAGCAAATTCAGGCCACCCACTGAGTCTGGTTATCCCAAATTCCCTCAATTTTTGCCTCTGGCACAATGGGAGAAATATTTTCCCACTAGGAACATGCACTCCGAGGCTTGCAAAATATTCCATCAGTTCTATCAGTTAGCTTTGTCTAACCTACAAATAATTGCTTAATCTGCCAACAAGCAGGCATTGCAAAATCTCACAATAAGCTGGTTTGTGACAATCTGACAAAAAATAGTGGAATGTGCCAATACACTCTATGTTGGTACACCCCTTTATGGAAAATATCAAATTTATTGAATCACCGTTTACTTATGTCATGTTGCCACTGGTAATTTACAGTTAATGGTGATCATATACACATTTGAAACTGCAAACACACCCTTATTTCACTTTTTGCTGTGTATTTGCCAAGAAATATTTAATGGTTTTAGTAGACACACATTTATGCAGACACACTTGCAGTCTGTGTGATTTTATTTGAATCACATCTTTCTTTTGGCAGACACAGGGCTAGGTAAGGTTTTTCAATTCTCTTTTTTTCTTTTTTTCTTTTTTTTTCTTTTTTTTTTTTTTTTTTTGTTCTCCCAGCCTGGGAATAGCAGATTTGGTTTTAATCAACCCCTTTGCAGTCTTGAACTTTGTCCTCCTGGAATACAGTGCCATTCATTTCAGGATTTTCCCCCTGTCTAATAAACATTAATGAAGCACACTTTACAATTCCCCTGTGATCTTATCTCAGTTTCACAGATGGGGAAAACAGAAACAAATTAAGGGGTCTGCACGCACCACAAATCAAAGGCAGAGCTGGGGGAAGAACCCAGGAATCCCAGCACAATTCCCTGCTCCAATAACTGAGCAATGTGCTCCCATCCCTGCAGTAACTGTGTTGCACAGGACAGCACTGTTACCTTCAGACCATCCAGGAAGACTAAAATTGCTCTTTTTCCTGAGGTTTAGCTCCCCACAGAACTGCAAATTCTGTGAGGTGGCAGAGGGCTCGTGGCTCTGCTGGATTATCCCTCAGGATGTCTTTATTCCCTTCTGAGCAGAGGATCTCTTTTCTTTTCTGCTTAGCAGAGATCTAGCAGGATGTGGGGAATATTCCAGCCCCTGCTGGTACGCCGTAGGGTTTATCCATCTTTCCCAGGAGAGAAGCCTGATTTCCTGGGGAATTTTCATCTCCTAGCTCTGGACAATGTGGTCCATTCCATGTACCTGTGAAGAAAACCACATCTATTAATTACATCCAGCAAGGAAAGACAGGTGATTGCCTTGTGCCTGGAATCTCTAAGTAGGGCCACTCTCTAGCAGAACAATCCCTGAGCTGTGATTTCAGCAGAGACAGAGGAAACCAATGTTCCCTGCAAGCTGCACTCCTGTCAGACACCCAGCAGTTTTTCTGACAGCCAGGATTTTTGTGGCACTGGCTGTGAGTCATTATTGAAGAAGTGTTATTCTTAAAACAGAGGAAGAATGCTGGAAAAAGGAGGTGTTAGACAGGAAAAAACCCAAACCCCTTTCACACCTCCATCTGCTGTCTTGCAGTGCCTTGCTACCAAACATTTACAAATTGACAAGTTTTATTGCAAATCTTGCTCCGCTTGTTAAAGATTGTTTCTTTTTGAAGACAGAATCAGACATTTAGCCTTTCTCCCCTACCATGAATATATTTTCCTTGTGTTTAGCTCCATGGAAAACAACAATCCCTACTGTGCAGCCTTCTGCCAGGACAGCCAGGTTATTCCTAACTGCACTCCCAGGTTTCTGCTGAAAACAGGCTGCAGGAAATACAGCACTGGCAGGAACCTGCACTGCTTTAGCTTGGTTTGTTCTGCACATGGGCAGTGTCCAGCCAGATCCAAGCTGGGAATCGCTCTGGTGGAATTAAATAATTTTGTGCTGGAAAGGGCTTTGCAGTTCTGTGCTGAGAGCCCATCTCAGCTGTGGCACTGAGAAGCTCCTGAGCCAGGTCTGAGCGAGCCATGGCACAAAGGGTGACAGAGCTGCCACAGCAACTGCTCATCCTCTTGTTGGCCTCACAGCCTGCCCAGCTCACCCCAGGCTGATCCCATTCCCCTCCCAGCTGCTCTGGAGCTGTGTCTGCACATGGCCCGGACCTGCAGTGAGTCACAGTCACACTCTCAGGTCTCTGTGCCCCAGTTCTGCAAACCTTTCTGCACAAACATCATTGTATTCAGCAGAAGAGACCTGGTGTACTCACTGCAGGCCTCGACTGATGTCCTTACAGCCTTGCTTTCTCTTTAAAGTTGCTCTAGGAAGTGATTTTGTTGATTTACCCCCCTCACACGTCCGCCTGCTTCACCCTTTTTAAATTTAACTCCGGTGTCAGATCTGCAGCTGTTTCCGAGGCCACATCCATGAATGATTGCTGCTCCTGCCAGGTGCAAGCCTGAATAAAAAGGTCAGGGGCTGGGGAGAGGATTAAGCTTTGGCTCAGCTGCTTGCATTCTCACACAGAGCACGGGCTGTCCGTCCATCTGTCTGTCAGCCCTCACACACCATCCAGACAGGTGAGGAGCTGAATGTTGGAAACAATTCAGTGACGCTCGTACAAAGCCACTACACCGTGTCTGTGGTTTAAAAAAAGCTCCCCCAGCAATCCCCCAAGCAGCCCTTGGATCAGTGAAATTATCTGTGCAGAAACATGAATGCAGAATGGCATGGGAACAGTCTCCCTGGAGACTGGGGCAGGGCAGATTGGAGAATACCTAAATCTCTAAATGGTGTCTGAGATTTTTCATGTTAAATTGGAACATTTTCTTCCCACGCTTACCTAAGGAGATGAAGGGAGGCAGCTTATGGGCACTTAGCACATACAGTGAGAGCAAGCAGGGAAAAAATCCAGGAGGCAGGGAGCAGATCCATCCCCCTGGATCTCCACCTGAAGCATTCCACTGATTCAAGGCCTTTTGTGCGTGCAGCAGTGAAAGCTCTTGGCTATTTTAAGACCTCCTCATGCTTGCACTTCTGTTTCAACCCATGGGAGGCTTCCAGTCTATTTCTGTATATTAGTAATCCTTCCTCTTCTGACTTCCTTATCAAATGTGCAAAACAATCAATAATTCACTTAGGCCCTCCATTCCCATTAGAGCTGTGATTTAAATATATTTCTGTGGCTGTAGAATGAGCAGATATCCTAAACTGCCCTGGAAATGCCCTCTTACACATGACAGCATCTTCTGCCACCCAAAGTAGTTTTATTTCTCCAGCTGTTAAATCTAGGACAAAATACTACTCTTTTGTTCTATATTAAGGCCATGGAATAACAGCAGCTGAGTTCCCAGCCTCTGTCCTCATGGAGGGGAACAGCAGGATGAAGAATTAACCCCTGGCATGAGCTTTTCTCTTGCTAAGTCATTAAGAAAAGCCAGATCTCCTTGATGCTCTCCTGGCTAACAGAAAACTGGAGGCTGATG